TTGCTACATTTGCACACACTGTATATATACTTTCTGTTGTATTTTTGACTTTGTGTTTTGTTTACCCCATATGTACCTCTGTGTTGTTGTTGTTTTTATTGCACTGCTTTGCTTTATCTTGGCCAGGTCGCAGTTGTAAATGAGAACTTGTTCTCAACTGGCTAACCTGGTTAAATAAAGGTGAAATAAAAATAAAAATAAAAACAAAAACAATCTAAGCCAACACTGTCTGTTTTGCCCCATTGTTGCGTTTTTTTTCTTCTTTTTCTTCTTCTTCTTCTTCTTCTTCTTCTTTGTCTTCTTCTTCTGTGGATTTTTATGGCTGTTGGCAACCAACTTTAAGGTGCATTACCGCCACCAACTGGACTGGAGTGTGGACCAGAGACGGAAGGTCTAAATCCTACCCAATAGTCTCGTCTCCCTAAGGAAATTAAATACATAATTAAATACTACATCCCCTGAAGATTTCCCCTGCAGTTCACTTAATCTTGGCTCTTCAACCCCATTACTCCTCAAATCTTATAACAATCGCTCCCTTTCCCTCCCATATTTCTGGCACTGAAATAGAACGTGTTCCACTGTCTCCATCTCCTCCTGACAATGATGTTTCTTTGCCAATTTCAATGTACTATTGAGCCTTGTGTGTCCCAGTCACAGCCTTGTGATTACATTTTCCTCCCTTCTCTCTCAGCCTGATGACCTCCCTGACCCAACCTTTTCCTGAATCTTATACAGGTCTCTTTCCTTTCCCTCCCGTTTCCACAACAACTCTTGCCATTTGTTTTTAACCACTGTTTTTATCAACCCCTTGGCTTCTCCTTTACTGATTGACAATTCCATCTCAACATTAGGATGTTTAAGAGCCTGCTTTGGCGATATCCACCTCCTCCTTCCCTTCTATTCCCACATGAGCTGGTACCCAGAGGAACATCACAAATACCCCCATCTGTCTCACCCTATATAAGCACTGCAAAACCTCATACAATACATCCTGTCTGCTCCGAGTCACAAATGAATTTAAGCTCATCAGTGCTGCACAGGAGTCAGAGCAGAGCAGAGCCTGTCTGGCCTCACCTCCCCCACCCACTCTGCAGCCAATAGTATGGCCAACAACTCCATTGTGTAAAGAGATAAATGATCCGTTGTCACTGCCACCTTAAACTCAGGATGCATCAGTTTTGTTCCTAAACAACCAACCCGTAAATAGAGATCCCTGTCTATAGAGATCAGGCATTTACAAAATTACACTGATTTGCCAGATGGTGGCGCTAGAACAAGAGATAAAAAATGCTAATTTGACAGGTCAAGGGCCTCACCCCGTTTGACCTAAAGTCATGAAATGTGGTACATAGGTCCCTCTCCTCACAAGGAACAAATTTGCCTCAGGCCAGGGACCCATAATGTTCGCCATGATGGATTTCCCGCCATTTTGAATTTTGTGAAAAACACTTAAAACGCTACCAAAGATTTGTGTAACTGTTCTATCTGTTACACTACTCTTCCGGCACCGAATGACCGATCTGCAGGAAACTTGATACAGTGCCTTCAAAAAGTATTCACACCCCGTGACTTTTTCCAGGCGGAATTGAAAATGGATTAACTTTAGATTGTTTGTCACTGGCCTACACACAATACCCCATAATGTCAAAGTGGAATTATGTTTTTTTTTAATGTTTTGTTTCAATAAGTATTCAACCCCTTTTTTTATGGCAAGCCTAAATAAATTCAGGAGTAAACATTTGCTTAACAAGTCACATAATAAGTTGCATGTGTGCAATAATAGTGTTTAACATGACGTTTGAATGACTACCTCATTTCTGTACCCCACACATACAATTATCTGTAAGGTCCCTCAGCTGAGCAGTGAATTTCAAACACAAGTTCAACAACAAAGACCAGGGAGGTTTTCCAATGCCTCACAAAGAAGGGTTCCTATTGGTAGATGGATAAAAATGTAAAAAGCAGACATTGAATATCCTCTTGAGCATGGTGAAGTTATTGATTAAACTTTGGATGGTGTAGCCTAGTGGTTAAGAGCGTTGGGCCAGTAACGGAAAGGTCGCTGGTTCGAATTCTGCAGTTCTGCCCTTGAGCAAGGCAGTTAACCACCAACAACAGCTGCTCCCCGGGCGCTGATGACGTGGACGTCGATTAAGGCAGCCCCCCGCACCTTTCTGATTCAGAGGGGTTGGGTTAAATGCGGAAGACACATTTTGGTTGAATGCATTCAGTTGTGCAACTGACTAGGTATGCCCTTTCCCTTCCCTTTCCCAATACACCCAGTCACTACAAAGATACAGGCGTCCTTCCTAACTCAGTTGACGGAGAGGAAGGAAACCACTCAGGGATTTCACCATGAGGTCAATGGTGACTTTAAAACAGTTACAGAGTTTAATGGCTGTGATAGGAGAAAACTGAGGATGGATCAACAACATTGTAGTTACTCCACAATACTAATCTAATTGACAGTGAAAAGAAGGAAGCATGTACAGAATAAAAATATTCCAAAACATGCATCCTGTTTGCAACAAAGCACTAAAGTAATACTGCAAAAAACGTGGCAAAGCAATTCACTTTTTTTTTCTCCCCTGAATAGAAAGTGTTATGTTTGTGGCAAATTCAATACAACACATTACTCTGTGCCACTCTCCATATTTTCAAGCATAGTGGTGGCTGCATCATGTTATGGGTATGTTTGTAATCATTAAGGACTGGGGAGTTTTTCCGGATAAAAATGAAACGGAATGGAGCTAAGCACAGGCAAAATTCTAGAGGAAAACCTTGTTCAGTCTGCTTTCCACCAGATACTGGGAGATGAATTCACATTTCAGCAGCACAATTACCTAAAACACCAAATCTAATATAATAAATAATACACTGGAGTTGCTTACCAAGAAGACAGTGAATGTTCCTGAGTGACTGAGTTACAGTTTTGACAAATCTACTTGAAAATCTATGGCAACTCCTAAATATGGTTGTCTAGCAATGATCAACAACCAATTTGACAGAACTTGAAGAATTGTGCAAATATTGCACAATCCAGGCGTGGAAAGCTCTTAGAGACTTACCCAGAAAGATTCAAAGCTGTAATCGCTGCCAAAGGTGCTTCTACAAAGTATTGACTCAGGGGTATGAATACTTATGTAAATGAGATATTTCTGTATTTATTTTTCAATACATTTGCAAAAATGTCTAAAAACATGTTTTCACTTTCTCATTATGGGGTATTGTATGTAGATGGCTGAGAAAAAAATATATTTAATCAATTTTGAATTCAGGCTGCAACACAACAAAATGTGGAATAAGTCAAGGGGTATGAATGAATACTTTTTGAAGGCACTGTTGGTAGCATCTATGGACAATATTTTCCAGACCTAAAACAACATGGCCGCTATTGACCAATAAAAATTCACATGGGCATGGTCTGGCACATAAATGCATATAAATCAGTCAAGGATATTCGCTTTGTAACAAAATTTGGTACACATGTTGAAAACACTGTACAGACTCAACAAGAAGATTCATGTCGACCACATGGTGGCGCAAGGGCACATGCACGGGCACATGTTTATATATCTGAATCTGTTTGACTCAGAGTGATGAAATTTGCCTAACATGCTCAGGGATGAGTCTAGCTAACCCACGCAATATCCCAGACACCACTGGCCTGATTTTGACGAAACGTGGGTGAATGATGAGTCTAGTCATAGAAATCCGTCATTTACAAAATTACACTGAGTGGCCCAAGGGGGGCGCTGCATCATTCGTGGGGGACAACATGTTTACTGTTGCCTTGTTTTTTATTAACTTAGTAAACTTTGTCTTATTTTGGTCATTCTCATTTTTCATTTGAGCACTGACTGATACCTGTTGAGTAAATTATGTATTGTTGCAATACAATGAATTAGTACTGTAGTGGGATAGTGGACAGTCCAGTGGAGGAAGTTTTTATCTCACTGGCCTGTTCGTGGCCCTGACAGTCCACTATCACTCAAATGTTTAGCTGATCACATCTGCTTTAGCTGCCTATATGATTCTATGTAATATCATTTGAATAACATAACATTTCTGTCCTGTCAATGGACTGACATCAAGCTATGGTAAGCATTTGAATTTGATGTTTTAGACTGATTATTGTCCACCACGATGAAATCGGGGACTGTGGATCTGTCTCCGTCCGTAGTACGTTAGTCACACGCGATATCTTAGACAGCACTGGCGAAAACTTGGGTGAAGAATGCGTCTTGCCATGGAGATCTGGCACTACAAAATTACACTGATTGGCCCAAGGAGGGAGTTATAGTAATTACCTGAAATGTAATACACGTGATATCTCATTTGGCCCAATTTGTTTTGTTTGTATTGTTCTTGAATGTGATTTGATATTGTTACCTTTTGGATTATTTCAAGGTTCAACCAATCGAGCTGTTTTCATTAGTGGTCAGGCAGACCAATGGTCGGTCAGACACACTTGCACTGTTGGGCTATAGTCTCATTATAGGCTATGACCTTAGTACTATTGCTGGGGTTCTCAAACTTTTCCTTTCTGAGGCCCACTACTTAGTTAGTTTTATATTATGGTTCTTCTGTTTCATCTCTGCTTTTTCAGGGACCCCTGTAAACAACTCCCTTGGGCCCCCTATTGAGAACCACTGCTCTATAGATGTAATTTTTAGGCTATGAAATGCCTAATGATAGCCTAGTGAACAGTGACAAAGTTCGAAGTAACATTCACACAAGATGATTTTGAGAGTAAAATCCAAATCAGTCAGGAACGTCACACCAAGAGTAGATGTCATTCATATCTCATTACTTTGAGAGTAAGGCTGGGGTGGGGAGGAGGGAGATCTTACATTTTTATTATCACTGGGCATGGCCAATTCCCAAACTAGCCTCTCCCTTCTACAACGCTTCAGTCTGCCCTCACATTCTGCGCTTGCGTACTATCAATTTAGCGGCTGCAGGGTAGTGAGAATCGGTGGGAGTTAGCTAGCTGTGTAATGGCGGCTTCGGTGTTGCTTTCTGCGGAGAACACCGGACCGACTTTTGCGGTCGGCAATTCTGGAGCGGTAGGGGCTCCCGGTAATGGAGTAGGGGCACCGGGTCCTGCATCTTGGAATCGGTCACTGGACAGGGCATTAGACGAAGCCTCGGCAACTGGTTGTCTCAACCTCAGCGGCAGGAAACTGAAGGAGTTCCCGAGGAGCGCAGCCAACCACGACCTCACAGACACAACTCGGGCCGGTGAGTGTGGATCGAGGCTCGCGCGGTAGAATGGATGAAAATGTCCGGACATGTTGATAATAAAATGTTATGGAACAAACCCAAACAGACACTTCGACGGCTGTGGGTATCTAGCTAGCCAGCAGAGGCTCGAAAAATAAACTTGTTTTGACTTGGAGTAACTACGAAATTAGCCTGCTAGTTAACGTAAGGACACTACCTGGCCAACATTAACCAGCTAGCTAACGCTAGCCAGCTAGCGAGCGTCTAGACGTCTCCAGAGCAGAGTTGGTAAACACAGCTCATGTTTTAATTTTTTTAAATTTTTTATTTAACCAGGTAAGCCAGTTGAGAACAAGTTCTCATTTACAACTGCGACCTGGCCAATATAAAGCAAAGCAGTGCGATAAAAACAACACAGTTACATATGGGGTAAACAAAACAAAGTCAAAAATACAACAGAAAATATATATACAGTGTGTGCGAATGTAGTAAGTTATGGAGGTATGGCAATAAATAGGCCATAGGGATGTAGGTAGGTAGTTGTAACATGTGCATTTTTCTGCTGCAAATACATTCCCAGGCATGCACTCAAAACGTTATAATACGTGGCGCGAGAACTGACAGATTGGGACCCTCATGAAATGTGTAAGGATTCGAATCAAGAACCAGTGTAGTCACCATGACCTGTTTTTGCGGTTAACTTGTGACACAGAAAATGAGGGAGGGAATATGGGGAACTATTTTTTGTTTGTGATACGATGTTCATCTTTGGTATGATGCACTGCATCGTCCCTCACAGCTTATGAGGACTGTGGCAGGCCTGGGGGTTGTGCTTTTGGACAATTAATAGACACTGCAGGAAATAAAACCTACTAAAAACATCTCTCTCATCCAGCACCAGAGTCTACGCATACCTGTGCACCATAGCCAATCAAGGCTATAGTAGGCCTTTATGCAAACAAGCCATTTGCCACACAGGCCTGCCATCATTCACGTTCAACTGGACTGTGTGTTTACAGGCAGTTGCAACAGTGTGACTTTACATCATTAGAACACATTCTGCAAAAGACACAAAATACACCTGAATGGATTTCTGTAAATACCACGGAAGGCCTCTTACATTTGGGAACTTTACAGTCCTATTGATCAAACAACTATGAAAAGGCAGGCTATCTCTCCCTCAGTTATGCACATCAACAAGATCAAGAACTAATGCTAGTCAGAGCAAGATGTGCAAAAATCTAACGTAGGAACAATAGATAAACCCTCTCAAACTTTTTCAGCTAGTTGGCTGTCAAAATTTCCCTGATAAACGATGGGGAATTGTAGCCTACTCGTCCTTCTGCAGCTTGCCTACCAATGCATGCTTTCCTAACCAAGCACCCAAGCAAGCTGTCTAACGTTGGCTAGCTTGCTAGCTAGCTACTTCCAGACACAAATGAGAGAACATCTCACTCTGACCATTTACTCTCCCTAGCAGAGTTGGTTAGGCTGTTAACATGTTATCTAGAGCGTTCGTGACAAACTATTACTTTTTCTGCCTACATTTACTGACACCAGTCATATTCAGCGGGTGATGCGCGTTCGTAAATGTGTAAATTCATCAGTTATTCTGTGCGAACGCCAGAGATATGCTAGCTAACTGGATAACAGTCGTTCACGTTCTTGCTAGCCAATCAAATGACACCTGCATCTCTAGCTGTGTATAGCCACTGAAAAACGTTATGAGGGGAAAAAGTCAGTCACTCGCCCTCTCCTCCAATGACATGACATCCTCCTGGCAGCTAGCTCTCTAGCTAATGTTTGGCTCTGTGTTTTTAGCTTGCTACATAAATAGATACGCTAGCCTATTAGCCACCTTATGACTGACTTGTGATCATTGACCTTGCTAGTCCGTTTTTGTCCAAAATATTCAGTCATTTAAACTGTAACAGTGCATCCCGAATGGAGGCAGCAAACAGGCCAGCTGTGATTTACAACATGATAGAAATATTTTCTGGACTACCAAAGTCTGTATTGGTGAATTATATTATTAATGTATTGAACTGCATCAATCTATTCTGCCAACAATGCGTTAGTGTACGTCATGGAATGTTCAGTCAAGTAGAACCTATTTTTAAAACCTCTTAAAGTTTGTTTTGTAGCATAAACTGGGAATTTGATATTTTTGACTAATACTATGATTGTCTGTTTGTTTCATATCTGCAACGTAGTTAAAACGCTGTCAGTTCCACTTTAAATAGTGTGGATGAAGGGTGGGTGGGTGGCGGGTGGGTTGAATAGCCTAAAGAGAAAACAATACCTTTAAAAAAAAAACATAAATGTATTATTCTGATCCAGTGGAAACTTCATAAAATACCTGATTACTTGTTATCCCTTGCACAAATAGCCTACAGCTGTGTCTTTCCCAAGCTCACAGAACTGAGGGCCCAGAATATTTTATGCAATATTGCAAGTTTGCTAGCACAAGCTTTAGCTGGACACAGTTGATAGTCGATACAATGTTTCAAGTTTGTTGCAGACAGGCCATGCGTAGCCAATGTGATTTTATAGGATATTTATTTTTATCAGGATATTTTCTACCTGAAGGCTGCAATGTTTTTATTTGTTGGCTTTATGTAGGCTATTTTTACATAGTTGGCAATGGCAATAGAAGTCACTTTTAGATTTATTTTTACACTTTTTGTATCAATTTTATTTAGATACAATTTAGATTAACCACATGACAATGATTTTGAGATACAAACACTATTATAAATTAAATAAAACTGTTCCATGAAAATGTGCATATGAAAATCATAACTGGCATGCAGATCAGTAGAAATGATAAGATAGATTGGCACTCTAAATGGAAAAGGTTGCCGCCCCCTGGTGTAGCCTATTCCCAGCAACTTCAGGAGCATAACGGCAGAATCTGCGAAGGCCATCAGCAGTGGGAGGAGGGGGATCAGGAACATCGAAAAGAAGACTCTCGGTCGAACAATATTTTTTTGTGTGCCAGGGACAGCCCTAGTGTGTATGGTACTGTATGTAGGTCTGGGTGATATGGCCTAAAAATCCTATCTCCATTTTTTTCAAATTTATGGGCGATTCACGATATGCCTATTTTTTTCCTTTTTCTCAAAATAAGCTTTTTTGCAATAATCACTCACTGATCTGGCTTTCAAGTCTGTCTATGAAAATACCGTTTTTTTGTTGCTCATTGCACATTTATAAAACACAGACTAGACAGCTTGCACATAAGTCTGTGGCTAAAAGGCTGCTAACAGTATGTGGTACCGCAATGTCGCATGCGACAATTTTTCCACAATCATGTTTATTGATTTTCTCTCTTCTTTTAGTAGGGTCTGTTCTAGGCAGTATACCGTATACTGGGTTTTCAATACCAATGAAACTATTTCTTTCAAGTTTTTAAATAAATGTAAATATTTGTAGCTACCTTTTTAAAGTAAATACCTGCGGTCAACTTGTGCAAATCGTTAGGAGATGAAGAACATTGAGTTCTTCATTTCATCTGTCACATTAATATGTAGTTTGTGGTGGTTGTTTACAAGCCCACAATGGCGAGATCGGAGCCTTGTGAATCACTCACTGTCGTGCAGCATGCGCCAGGTGATCTAATTACAGTATGGAATTCACAACTTCATGTTTGCCAGCTAGATAGCTTTACTATTAAGTTAACTGTCTAAAATGTGCTAAATATTCTCCAGTTGTGCATTTGATTTGCTAATTTAGTAACTAGTTAGCTATCTAGCTAAGTGGTTAGCTTTTTATTTTATTTTATTTCATCTTTATTTAACCAGGTAAGCCAGTTGAGAACAAGTTCTCATTTACAACTGTGACCTGGCCAAGATAAAGCAAAGCAGTGTGATTTAAAAACAACAACAACACAGAGTTACATATGGAATAAACAAAACATACAGTCAATAACACAATAGAAAATCTATATACAGTGTGTGCAAATGTAGTAAGTTATGGAGGTAAGGCAATAAATAGGCCATAGTGCAAAATAATTACAATTTACTATTAACACGAGTGATAGATGTGCGGGAGGTAGCTTAGTGGTTAAGAGCGTTGTGCCAGTAACCGAAAGGTCGCTGGTTCTAATCCCCGAGCCGACTAGGTGAAAAATCTGTCGATGTGCCCTTGAGCAAGGCACTTAACCCTAATTGCTCCTGTAAGTCGCTCTGGATATGACTGCTAAATGACAAAAAAAATCCCTTTAACAGAACCTGAAAAGGAATTACTCAAATAATGTCAGCAATGATTTGAGGGTGGTTAAACTGGAATTGAATGATTTATTAAGGAGGAGAGCTGAGTTCATCATGCATAGAGTGAGGCAGAACTATTATTTTAATGGGAGCAAATCAAGCAGGTTTCTAGCCTTAAAATTGAAACAAAGTGAATCTTGTGCTTCTATAGCATCTATTCAATCCCTATCTAAAGGCTTACTTTCTGATCCACAGGAAATTAATGCAACATTTCAGTCTTTTTACCAGAAGTTATATAAATCCTCTATCCATTTTGAGCCAGATAAATGCAAGCAGTTTTTAGATAATCTTGATTTGCCCGTATTGGATGAGAAGCAATCTACGGATCCGGGCCGACCCATCTCATTAGAGGAACTGGAGTCAGCACTGAAAGGTGCTAAAAAGGGTAAATCACCTGGCCCGGATGGCATTCCACCTGAACTGCACGCAAATTATCGTCCAATATCTTTAATTAATTCTGACCAAACATTTTATTCAAAAGTATTGGCGTTACAGATGGAAAGGTATTTGGATAAGTTGATTCACGTGAACCAGTCAGGTTTTATGAAACGTCGCCTTGCAGCTGACAATAAATGTCATGTAATACATGAAACACAACAGCTGGACACACCGTGTGCTGTGCTGTCTCTAGATGCCGAGAAGGCTTTTGACAGGCTTGAATGGCAGTACTTGTGTGTTGTCTTGGAGAAATTTGATTTGGGAAATAATTTTATCGATATGGTTTGTGTGTTATATGCTAATCCTGTTGCTATGGTTTCTACTAATGGCATACACAA